GGCAGATCGCTCACCTTGCGGGTGAGCGGTTGGACCGACTGTACTCCGACAAATAGTTCCTGCGGTTGCTCGTGAGGGTAGCGGTCGACGAGTAGAAGCTGCAGAGCCGAACGAGTATGAACACTTTGACACATAATGCTGTTTCGACAGTTTGGGACCTGCTATCGGCAGCGCGTTCACTCGCTAGAATTTGGACCGACGTCGCGCGGTCGAAGCTCGATCGAAATCGAATCGGTCCACAGTTGCGAGGACCAATGACTGTGAGAAAAATGACGCGACGGTGCACGGCCTCTTCCGTTCTCACTTCTCGCAGTAGATTCTAATCGTTAAGCCAGGCAAACGGAGGCACCGACGAGAAGAGGAAGCGTCGCTTCCGAGTGATTCCGCTGAGGCACGCTTCTGAACGGCGAAACTTCGACCGGGAGTCTGCTCTATCGCGCGAGCTTACTCAGCGTAAACTTGTGCAATACGTGTTCGTGACTGAATGCGAAAACACACGGATCGACTCCTTCCTTCCGATACAACGCGAGCGATGTGCATGAAGGCAATACATAGAGCGAGAAGAAACGAAAGAGCACTTTTGACCTCGTCCCGTTAGACTGCCGATAATCGCCGATCCCCCGAATCAATCACAACCGCGGCACCTGAGCTCCGCGGCACCAACTAACCTTCCTGACGCGCAATAGGATCGTCTGTACTCCGAGGAGATGTAATTCGAGCGCAAACTCGAGCCCGCCGCGGACGACGGCGTGTAGAAGCTGGTGGGCTGGTCAAGAATCGAGCTGGTGCCGCCGGTGGACCGGTACGCGCTGAACTTGGACGTGGAGCTGCCGATACCGCTGGTGGTGGTGGTGCCGGTGGTGCCGCTCGAGTATCTCCGGCTCGGTGAATGCGGCGCCATTGGGCTGGTGCTGTACGAAACTGCTACGGCGCCCGCTTGCCCGCCGCGATGGTACGACATTGCGTCCGGGTCACCGCCGGTCTCTCGCTTTTCCTTCCTGAAGTGCCTGAAATAACAGTGATATTAATGAATAATGTCGACACGATATCTGTACTTGAGCGGACAAAGTACCAACGTCTGTACTATTCGGTAACTTTCGACGGTAACAATCTTAGAGAAATCTAGAGTCTGAAAAATATTTCACGCGAAATGACACTGTATTGACTGAACTGATGAGCGAATATTTTCGCGAAGGCATACAAAACTGGCATTGTGACAAGAAGTAAAAAATTGACGATCGCGCTCTCTCGGAGAATTTCTCGATTCCGAAACCAGCGAGACCACAGATCCCACGTGACTTCCGTTACCGAGAAAAAATGTAACCCTTTTCTTCACTTTTTCCCTTTCGATGTTGCACGCATAACATTATCGGCATGTTTTCTTAATTATTTCAGAACTATATCAATTTTATTCATTGAATTTGCGATTTGTGATATAACGTAATGTAATTTAACTTTTAGTTTTACACGTATTTATATCACTTTTCTTTACTTTTCGTTTTCTTGTCTGCCTATTAAAGAAGTATCACTTCTAATGTATGTGTCTAAATTGCGCTTGAGGGAAATATTCTCTTCCTAAAGCGTTAGCGCTTTTTAGATAAATATTAAAATAATATTAGCTATTTAGATAAATAAAAAACTTTCTCTCTCCTCTTGCTCATTAAAAAACAATGTGTGTAAAAAAACGTTAATTGCCCTTAATCATTGCACTTCGGTAGATCGAGCCCGAACAATGCATTATTCAGCATCTCGCGCAAGCGCTCTGACCCGATAATTCGTCAGGCATGTATAATTAGTCGATTCGCGCACACCTCACGATTCCATTATCAATCGGCATATATTATCGGCCGTATCGATAATTGTATTTTACGGACGTAACGCGATCTCCGGATATCATGATATTCGATAATCGCACGTGCCTAACATGAAACGGGCTCTCCTGTTGTTTTCCTATCGGTATCGCAAGTAGCGCAATACGACAAGCTTAATTCGAGCTTCAGTTTGACCTCGGCTCTAACTCCCTCCCTCTCTCCCTCTCTCTCCCTCCTCTCTCGACTGTCTCGAGTATATCACCTTACCTTGTCCTCCTTTCCTACGGAGCACCTGAGGATTACCATAAGAAAACCATGTCGCAGTCCAGCTGCCAAAGTCGATTATCGTGGATTTATAAGGGAAGGGGGAGGGAATTTGTGTGCTTATCGATTTGTTTCGTCTTTCAGGAGCGCAAAACAGCTGAAGCATGCGGTTAACTGTACATAGACAAGATGGACACGCTTCTTGAACATCGCAGAGTGATTCGACAGCGAACGTTATTTGACATAAGGCTCGAGTATTTATCGAAGCGGGATGACCGTCAATAAGCTTTGTAGCGTAGCGCGTAAACCCCGACTCTTAAAAGGCACAAGATGGTCACTGCGAGGTCGTACAATCGAAGTTTCGATCATCCTTCGTATACCCTTCTATACACTTTCTTCCTTCGATAGTAACGACTGCAGAAAATCGTATGATACGTTCGCCCGTACGAGATTATCCCGGCTGGGGATCTCCTTATCGGTGGACAAATATTTGAACGTTACGTCAAAACTTCGGATTCTTCTCGGCGATACTCACAAGCGAGCGTGCCTCCTTGTTGACGCAGTTAATCTGAATGTATTCTCTTATAATTGCAATTTATCCCAGATAGGCATATTTCGGTACATTGTCTGCATTATGACTAGCGCGTTAACATAAGATAAAATAAATACGTTAATATATGTCCTCATACAACAAGCATTTATCAGTAACACAAAATATTGACCGATGTCGTGAAAATTGCAACAATATTCTGACGTCATAAATGCTGCTTATTTTGTCCGAAAGAGAACGAGATTAATCTGAAATTATTGTATAATAACAAGAAGTCAATGCGCCGATTGGAATTATGGCGTAATAAATAAATATTTCTTAAAACTAGCATATTTTAACTATGTGTAGTGTTGCAATGGCATTACAAAGCATGCATTAAATGTTTGAATACTACAAAGTAAAAATTTTGCGTTAAATTTAACATATTTCACATGTCCCAAACGATCTACACAAATTTTTGTGCTAACTGTTAAGTAACACGAATATGTTGAATATGTCGAAAAGTAACAAATATTATGTAAAAAATGAACACAAAATTAATATCCATAACATGTTAATCGACATTAAAGCGTATTTTAACACATTTACAAGTGTTATATTAACGTTTATACATATTGAATATCGACTCAATGCAAAATATTGAGACAACATGTAAACACAATATGCTAAATTAATACACGGTTATATAAAAAATTTTACAAAAATGTTAACAAGGACCGATTTTAACATGAGTGTAACCAAATATATTTTCTATCTGGGATCGTGAATATTAATATGGCATTCATGTTCAATAGAGACAATAATAATGACAATAACAACACCGATCGAACAGCACATCGTGCCGCATGAGATGAGAGAGGAATCGATGAGTCGCGTGTTATGATCTGCCCTTATTAGTTCGGCGAACGGGGAGGGGGAGGGGGAATAATATCAATTATTTCCCGACTGTGTAAAACCGTGGAGTCGTCCGCGTCTGCACTGACAGTTCAGTAACACCGGCCGGTGTTATATTTAGTCTCTATAAATAATAGTCCTAACGAGGTAAAATGGGCGCGAGATAAGGTCGGAGGAAATCGGAAGGCGCGCGCGTGCGCGCGTATGACCGACTCCGTCGGTCGGGCGACACGCGCGGCGGCAGCGTCGATAGGGCGCGGACTTTTGACGCGCCGATTTTTCCCTCGGCTGTGCGATTTGGCAGCCGGCCCGCTTTCCGCCGTGGTCCGACGCGCAGAACGCGGAATCCGATATAAACCCTGCCGTTTCGTATTTCGTTACAAAGCCATCTCGCGAGCGAGCGAGCGGGCGGACGCGCGCGCGCGCGTAAACTCTTCAACGCGGGATTTTGCAACGCTCGTTAAAAATAAAAATACCTCCGACGCGGGTTGCTACACGCGGCTGCATGAATTAAGGGTGCTCGTGCGCTGCCGATGGCGCGCCTCGTGTTCGCAAAATACCGCGGTGTGAAATGAAATGAAAAAAATTCTCCACGATTTTGCGCTCGAGGAGCGAGAGAGCTCCGAAAGCACTTCGACGGCGCGCTGGTTGGATTATTAGTCGAGTTAAACAATACGCAACACACGACGCAAATATTGGCCCGCAATCACGGCTATCTCGTTGACTTGCCTGCGTCATGGCACGTAGCGGTGCGAGTTCGATCGTTCGCGCGGACGACGGAATGGAAATTTTTGCCGGAAGCCCGATGGCACGAGCGACGACGAGTGTGTGTAAGCGGGGTATCTTCGATAAATTATAGCCCGATGCGGCAACGAGGAAACGCTTCTCCGGCCGGACACTGTTAATCGACGTGTTCGCAACACGTCGATACGCTAAGTGGATAGCTAATAGCTGCGCTTCGCGACATGCCGCGCGCAATCCGCGGAGAGGAGCCGGCGCGGTGGAAAATCGAAGGCAACGTCCGGGTGACGGCTCGATCCGGGGAAAAAAGAAAAGCCGTTTGCGTAAACAGACACCGCACCGTCTAACGCACGCGACACGCTTGCGTCATCGGCGAAACTTTGCGACAAATTACCGCCGTCGTACTCTTGCACTCGCGCGTATACTCATCACACACATGTATACACGCGTGCGTGTTTCCAACGGCGGAGTCAATAACGGGATTACGTGATCGTGTAAGGAACAATGAGAGTGATATAACTGAATTTTCACGCCCATCAAACTCGTTGAAACGCCGTCTCCCTGTTTCTGCGTTCAGCGAGTACGACGGTAGTACAACAAGAATTGTCTATGATTGGTATGGATACTTTCGGATTTACCAATCGTGCATGCATCTTCCGAATGTCGGTCGCTCTATTGTTGTGCTCACTGAACGCAGTCTTTGACGATACCGTTGTAGTTGCGAGCATAGGGATAATCGTGAACGCGTACATGTCACGCGGAATCGAAGTCGGAAATGAAGCGGAAAAGAAGAGATTCCCTCGCTCGATCAATGACGAACGACAATCCACCGCACTCCTGCGATAACGTTACTCCGGCATACTTCAGGACACCCGGTGGACGCGTTATTTGATCGAGATCACGATATTCGATTGCAGTCGGCATACGCGAATCCATTCGATTAGATTGTAGCTTTACGCAATGAGATTCCACGTTTCTCGTCTTTCCTATGGCGACTCGCGCGCTTCTCACTCACTTCGCCGGTACGAACGGGATTTTCGAGCTCGGTTCGACTTATTACGATTTTAATGATCGCGTCACCATGTGGAAATAAATAATATTATAAATGTGAGTCAATAACTATTACCATTTTGAATATTTTTGAAAAATAGAAAAATTATCTTATCAATGAATAGATGAAGACAAAAATGGGTTACATTTACAGAATGTGTTCGAAACGAGGACCGTTGTTGTTATCATTGTAAGATATTTGTCATCTAAACTTTTTTCCTACTTTCACATTCTAAATATATTCTAAGGCCCAAATTTTCATTTCCTGGTTAATTTGTGATTTCGAATTAACCGAATGATGATGTAAAAATGATGTTTTCCCATTTATATCTGGTCAACAATTACACTACAAAATTATCAGTTGAATGATTATATAATGATAACCATCCAGAAAAAAATTGTCTTAAATCAATGATAGATATTCTCATATATAGGAAAGAATATTATAATATTATTAGATTTTTAGTTTTAAATTGAATGCAAGTAATACATACATCAATACAGATTTAATCGAATCAAGATTAAAAATCTTCTAAGAAGATTATAATATTCTTATATATATGAAAATATCTATCATTGATTAAAGACTGGTTTTTTCCGCACATGAACAGAAAAACACGCGAAAAACCAATTTTTGCATCATCATCAGTTAAAGTTTAAACCATAAGTTAACCAGGAAATGAAAAGTCAAGCCTAA